AAGAGGAACTTGACAGTGATCAATGAATGTCATGTCACCAAAGGTGTCCGCTCGAAGTCCACTTGTTTTGCTTCGTGATGGTGCATGTTTTGCCGCTTGGCAAACTTCACACTCACTTCGGATCTTGTCAAATAGATCGAATGTTGGTTTCGGCAAATGAAGTGCTCGGGTTCTAAATCGAAATTGATCTGTTGTCATGTGATGATGCCGCAGGTGGAGTTTCTTCAACTCTTCGGGATTTGACAATCGCTTGTGTATTCTGCCTAGGGCAAGCGGAAGCGATGTTGGTTCTTCTGAGGATGGTGCGAAAGGATCTGGCTCGATAGTCGACCGGCCCCTCTTGTCGATGATCCTGTCTGCTGCCGATCCTGAACCTGCTTCTTCGTCCTTAAGCGAATTGTCCGCGAAGGTGAAAATGGTCTTACCTGTCCACAGGTTAATCATCGGTTTAATTGCCCGGGATGTAAGTCTCCAATTGTCTTCTAAAATGTCTGGATCTCCACCTGCGGATGCATCAATGATTTCCGTAGTACGTTCTCGGCTAATGTGATCAGGATTGATTGGACATTTCTTGGCTCCATTTGGTGTGAACAGCGCCTTTCGGGGCGTGATGTGCACACGGATGAGCTGCTTGTTCTTCTTGTCAAGGATCCAATGGTCCTGCTTTTGAGACCCAATGATCTTAGGAGTTGCTAGGTCCTCCTTTGTCTCGGATGATTTTGCTGCACAAGCAGTTTCGCTCTTGGTGAGATCCCCGGAGGGAAACTTGATGCTGTTATCATCGTCATAGACATAGTTGATGAGGACCTTGTGAGCAATTTCTCCATGCGCCTTCACTCTTGCAACTCCCGCGAGATCGACGAGCGCATGTCCTGTACCGGATACTGGAACTGCTTGACGGTTCATGCCAAAGGCCTTGCATGTGATCTTGTCACATTGAGGTGTGTGCTCGATGGTCATGTAGAGGTTCCGCATCTGGCTGATGCTGAGAAGGATCGGTACAGTTCCTTGTTCAAGGACGTCGATGTTTGTACTGCATGGAGGAGTTGTGTGATATCGAAGATGCAGGGTCCAATTTACCCTGGCGGTCTCTCCGTTTGCAAAAGTGAACTTGGTCTCGGCCGGGATGTACTCATAGGAGATGATGTCCTTCATTGGTTCGATGGCCTGAGTAAAACGCTGGATTGCATGCCAGCTGCCCATAGATCTGGTACATCCATTGTCCAGAATCGCATAGGTCGGGTTGTGCTGAGGGTTGATGACAGGCGCCATCAGCTTTGTTGCCAGAAGGCTGTGATTTGTTGTGACGGACAGATTGTGTTCTGAAACTGTATCTGATTGGATCAGCTTCTCGTGGATGGCCTTTTTCCCAGGATGCTCATATGCATCATGGAATGCCATTAACGCTTGTCCTGTGCTGGATGTCTCATGGGATGAGTACCAGCCATGTTCGTTCCATGTCCATGATTGATCCCAGTCTTGGTCTGTCCAACCGGCATAGGTAGGCTCTATGGATGGTGCAGTCTGCTGGATGGCGGGCTGCTCCTCCGTCTTCTCTGCGGTGGCTGCGAACGTCTTGGATTTTCCTTTCTCCTGTCCGCTCTTTCCTTTGCCACTCTCATAGGATGGATAACCTTTGTTTCCATCATAGGGATATTGGAATTTTGATTTTCCTTTCTTTCCCTTCTTTCCTTTGCCTTTTCCCCAATATGCCTGGTCGTAGGGATCATAGTTTTCGTTGGCCATATTGGCCTTTCCGCCAGAACCGCTTTTTCTGAAGGGTTTAAAGCCACCTCGTTGGTGACTGCCCTTTTTGTTTCCTGATTTTCCTTTTCCTTTTCTCTTCTTGAACTTGAAGTTCCGCCCCGACACTTTTCTTGCTATGAACGCATCGTTCTCCTCGAGGACCCAGAACGTCTCTTCATCGTTGTTTGACATGAATCCTTCAAGTCCTTCTTCATCCTCAACCCAGAAGCCTTCTTCTCCTTCGTATTCACCTTGTTCGATGATGAAGAATGTGTTGCTTCGGTTGCCTCCTTGAGGTCGGATGGATGGATCTTGGATCGATGTCCTCGTCGTGATGAAGAGTTCATGGTAGTGCGTCTTCAGCATCTCATAGGAGTAATTTTCGAGTGAGATGTTTCTCAATGACATTGCACTTGTCAGTCTTTCTCTTTGCTGATCTGACAGCTCACTTTGTATGATGAAAAACTGTGCAATGAGATTATCCCCGAAGGGAAATGCGTCCCGCTGTCTGTCCTGCATTCCTTGGATATACTGTCTGAGGACTGTCGGATCGTCCTCATTGAGCAGGGCTGGAGGCGGTGCTCGAACACCGGCTGCTTGCTGATGTCGAGCAATTGTTCTTGCATTTGCGTCCTGTACGGACTGTCGAAATGATGGGGACTGTGCCGTGAAAACGGGCATCAAGTCCATCCATGCTGCCTTCAATCTCATAAGAAGGATTTCGATATTTGAGGTAAAAATGAGGAACTCTTGGTTCTGCCTTCTGTGGTTGAAGAAACTGAGGAGCCTGTACAGATACACGTTGGTCGCACCTTTCAAAAAGTACTTCTTCAGCGTGTTCTTGAAATAGTTGACTCCTTCATCAGGATCTTGCAAAAGGTCGTTTTGGAGGACTGCCTTGTACATATATGCATCTCCAGTCAATCTGCTTTTGAGGAGAGGTCCTCTCTTGGGTGCTTCCACCGTTGTGATGGTCACCCAATCGTCCACGAGTTCTTCATACCTGAACCAGCTGACTTTTCCGTCGTACGATGGCGGCTGCTTTGGCGGTCATCGATAAATTTAGTGTTTCCTCCGTATAGCCTGGAGTTTTGGCCATACTTGAATAGGCTTCCATGAAGCCTTCTCCATCTGATGACATCTTCCCTTGGATCTCTGCGGAAAACCCGCTCCGCTACCACAAATTGAGGCCCACTGCCCCAGGTGCCTATCCCAGAAGGGAACTGGTACCCTGTGGCAGTAGAGGTCGTTGTTGGTCCCTGGATCTATTCCGGAGAGAATCCAATATGCCAATGTGGATGATTGCCTGGTGGATTGTCTTGTGGATAATCCTGTAAGCGGCCTGCAAAGGTTCTTTTGCTTCACGCGATCATTGATGATGCAATGATATGCACAAAAGGGGCCTTGAGCAAATGTTGCGGGAGATCAACTGGTCTGGGAAACAACCACAGGGGGAGGGGGGGCGGGGTTCACGCAGGGGCGGGTGGGTTCCTATGACAGGGGTGAAGGACTGTGTAGGGCAATCCCTTCGCTGCCCTCTATCTAGGCATGTTCGCTTTCAGAGCCTCGGAAAAGCGCCCCCGCTTTAAGTCCGCAACTTATACGCCTCCGTACTTGAACCTGAGAACTGTTCAAGGGCAAGGTGTCGGGAGCTTAATTGGGTCAACAAGCTGCAAGCAGCCAACTTGAATTCCAGCTAAGGGACCTCAGCAAGAATCGACCTCCGGGTTCCTTCCTTTTTGTTTGGTCATAAACGCATCTACCAAAGAAAAAGAAGCCGATGGCCAGCTTGGCGAGGCTCCCAGGACCCGTTGGGGAAAGGTGCCTGGTGGCTTCTGGGCTGGCAGCCTCACACTTCGATGGAAAAGGTTTCTATCAGCTTTTTGCTGTGGATGGAGGAACTTCAGGCCAGTGGGGAATTGTCCAAATTTGTCCATTATGAGCAGTGACGTGTTCGTAGTACTTTTTGGTGGCGCGCGCATTTTTTGGCCTGCAGGCTGGCTGGGAATCAGGGACATGCGGACCCCAGTCAGTGCCCCACAGAAAGGTTTTTCCAAACTTTCATCAAGGCCCCCTCTAATCAGGTCCATCTCGATTCCTGCAAGTAGTTCGTCTGTGTGCGTTTCCTGACTCTGGCTGAGGTCCTGACTGGCCGATGTGTTCAAGTCTTGCACCTTGGCTCACGCATGCGGGGTTCTTTCCGTCGCGATGGACGTCTCACTTGTCTGGTTTCGGTTTGCAACCTGCAAAAAACGCTCCCCACATCAAAGGTCTTCCCTTGAAGGGTCCTCCCTTGGAATCCAGACTGGTGAAGCGTCAGAATTCGCAGTTCACTCGTGTACATATATATATATATTATATACACGTATGTGTGTTATATACGTAAAGAGCGGACGCGCCATGCAGTCGGTTCTGCGCGGGCCAGACTGCTTCAGCGCTTTGACCAAGCCACTGCTTCAGGTATTTACAAGTTACAAGCCTTGGTGAAATTAGCCAGTCCAAGTTGCTTGCCAAAGTAACACACGCTAGGTTCACACGAAGTAGGTTCAAAGGTTAAAGAGACTGGAGTAGGTCCCAAGAGTTCATCTAGGACTAGGTTTGCGCCATTGAATCTGGACTGCCCCAGCTTTCCAAAGGTGGCTTTGGCTTCCGCTGGTGTCAGGTGCAGGTGCAACTAGGCCACACTGCAGGTCGGCCGCGAGCACGGTCTTCACGTTTCACCCGCGCATGACACATGCTTGGCTCGTGGATCGGTATGTCGAGGTCGACGAAGACCACAGCGGTTGGCATTTCAAGCCAGCGCTTGATTCCCGAGGCTTAACGCTCACTGTCGGCACCGCCACTCAAACCTCGATGCTAGTGCAGGTGAAACTACCCCGCAGGTTTACAAACGGGAAGATAGAACGAGTTCCCTTCACCTGCTACCTAGGCACAAGTCGCCAGGAAATCCTGGCGCTTGACGAGGACAATGACTAGATCACACATAAGCTTGTACAGAACCAACTATTCCCACAACACATCGGACAATGTCGGGGCTCCCGGCGAGAGGCCTGCCCAACGCGGACAACTACAAATTCAATGGATTTTGGATCCTCCTCGCTTCGTTTATTGCCATGATTGTTGACAACCGAGGCTTGGCACGTGCCTCTGCAGGTAGCACTCGTACAGTCTCATTCTGACATCAGGCTTCATATGGCCGTGAATTCTGTCAAAGCAAGATTGAAGCGTTTGAGTTAGTTAGTTTCTCACTTTCCATGTGGCCCTTGTTGCGAAGACGTGCGACCAAAGCCACAGGCTGCGCACACATGTCCTTTCAAATTTTGGCTGAAAGCCAGAAGCCAAAGTCACTGGGTTCAGTTTTGCTTTATTCATTTACTGCCAGTTGTTTTCCCAAATGGACACCTAGGACTAGGTCCCCCAGTAGTGCCCTTTTACCTTTTTGGGGGGAGGGTTCCCCTACTAAAACAGACTACAGAATCTAACCTCTCTACCGGAGGACCTAGAGGATTTCTCAGATTCCTTGGCGCTCGCATTTTTTAACCTCCCCACTCGAGGGCTCGCTCGGCCAAGGCCTCAGCACCCCTACGCTGTGGCGCTGGCCGCGTTCAGCTCCGACAGCCGGGTGCTGGTGGCCACGATGGATGGCACCGCCCCTCGATGTCTTTGGTTTCCTCTTCGCCCAGGAAAGCCTCAATTTTGCCCATGTTACTGGATGGTTGCGAAATCCGTTCGCACCAAGTAGAAACCATGGGCAACAATTCGTTAACATTTACAGGGGAATCATGGTTCCAGGGTTTTTCAGGTCCCCTATCTCGGTGCCCTTTCTCGCCACTTTGTTGGTTGGGAGGGTTCCCCTACTAAAATAGACCACAGAAAAAAGGGTACCCTTATTCCAACCTCTCTACTGGAGGACCTAGTCTTGGCTCAGGAAAGCCGCAATTAGATTGCCCATATTATGAAGATCCATGGACTGTGTCGACACACGGAACCTTCTGTCTTTCTTGGTCAAGTTTCCACTTTCAAGCCGCAATTTGCGGGCTGAACCCCTGGTGCTTGTGGTCAATGTCTACCAATCCAAGCCAAGAGGGAAGCTCATAGATAGGATCTCCTTGCAAATGATTGAAACCTTTTGAGGTTCAAGACATGGCCGGTCTTTGGTGTGACCTTAGCCCCCCCTTGCACCTTTTCACAGCCGTTCATTCCTTGTTCATTAAACCATTCAAAGTTAGACGGCGTAGAACGTGTTTTGTTTTGAAAGCAAACAAACAGCATGAACATGAAAACGAAAAACAATAAAAAGGAACAACCTATGTGTTCAGTTGTCTGTCATGCTGTCATGGCTATGTCCATCTCAAGACAAGGAAGATCAACACCTCTGAAGCAAATTGAGGCTAAATTCCGCATGTGTTCAAGGAGAAAACCAAGGGACAGCGGCAATTGCTGGGTTCTCCGAGTAGATCCATCTTCCCCCTTGCGGGATTGCATACCACTCTGTGCCATGTGGTCTTCCTTTTGATGGCCTGAACTGTGAAGGGAACTAATTTTTGGCTACTAGAAAGCATCTTGCGCATTTTTTCCCTTATTGCGGTTTAGTGGTTGGAAAATCCAAATCCACTTAGCTGCCAAAAAAAATCAGTCTTTGCTCCCCTAACCCAACGTCAACCGGGCAACTTCCCACCCCCCAGGCTGCCCACGCCATATTTCCAAAACCCGCCTCCCAAACGCCTCCCAAGCACCGCCTCCCCTGGTTCCTTCCGAACCAAACCAAGTTCCAGGAGTTTGCCGCTCCCTCTTGTAGATGCAGGTGAACATGGATCCCAAAAGCCATCATGGGATCTCCTTTGTCAGATCCTTGTTTGATGGGTCCATTCAAGTGATCATTCTGCGGGTGTCTCAAAAGACATCGAACCAGAGGATGTCACTTCAATTTTGTCACAATCTGTGGGGTTTCTTTGTTGTGGAAGAGCATGTACTTGACTGCTATTGGGTTGGATCTTTAGACTTCAACTTTTTGGTTGAAATATTGAGGTGTTTTCCACTAAACCCCCCCAGAAGTGAGAAACTGTTTGCAGGGGGGTCAACAGCGGCAACCAAGTGCCCCTTAGCTTCTTAACTTTTTAGTGTTTAGTGGGGTTTTCCATTTAGCCCACTAAAAGTGAGTCACTTTTAGCGGGGGATCTGAGGACAGCTCAGAAGAGCATGTGGATTGGGACTGGACTTCGCACAGGCGCGGCTGTGGCACGTCTCGGGCCAGCTGCTGCAGCGGTTCCAGCACCGGGGCACCGTGACCAGCGCGGAGTTCTCGAAGAACGAGCTGCTGACCGGCCTGGGGCCCATGGAGCAGTTAGGCCGTGGCTGGGGGGGTGGGACACTGACCTCCATTGGCTGAAGCGAATAATTTGCTTAAGAACTTGTGGTATTATTATTATTATTATTATTATTATTATTATTTATTATTATTATTATTATTATTATTATTATTATTATTATTATTATTATTATCCCTTGTTGGTCTTAAAAGGAATTCATCACTACTGGAAATATGTTTTGTTTCTTTCCTGGGGCCTGAACCAAATGGAAGCTGAGGTCTTTGAGGGCACCGGGTCGTTTTGCGAGGAACCCTTTTCAGCTTCATTTGAAGGGAAGCCGAGCAGGCGGGATGGTGTCAATGGTTTCCAAGGGTGTTCCGCACATGGTTTTTCTTGAAGTTATGGTACCCTCTTCGGCTTGTTTTCTCTTACCAACCGAAAGGACAACCACATTTTGTTGGGGCTCTGCTTTTTGGATACACATTCATTGGGCGGTGGGAATAGGGTTCCGGGCTAGAATTCTACAAGTGATCTTGGCTCAAGATGTTTGTGCGTTCTTGCTCCCCAACCTTCCGCAACTGGGTGGCCCGAAGACTCTTCGGATGTTCCATTTCCTTTTTTGTGGATCTCCCTCCCAAGAAATTCCATTGGGCAAAGTCCTTGCGGGAATGTTTTTTACAGGGGCGGTTCAACTTCCGCGTGGTTCTTTTCGTTTTTTGGTTGGTAGAATCCCCGAGACTGACATGGAAGCTCCCGAACAGGAATTTCTTTGGAAGACCTGGTTGCATTTGCAGAGGCCTTCTGGGAGCAAGCATGTTAGTCTGAGGGAGTGTAGGTGTCATTTTTGGTTGTTTTTTTTGCTAGAAACAAAAAGAGGGCGATTCCTGGTTTGCCTGGTCAATCAGCTACCAGGTTGAAACCCATCTATTTTCCAACCAAGGACACCGTGCTGTCAGGTAGAGCCCCCTTTCAAGCAGCTGCTTTGCAAGGCACTTTCCATGGGAGCCTCCAAGGTCGGGCTCTTATAAAAAACCGGTTACCGAAACGAGTCGTCTTCTGCGGTTTTCTTTTTGAGGGGGGGGGGGGGGGCTGGCGAGGTGGATGTAAAGAGAGGGAGCCAGGCTGCAGCTGAACTCGTCAAAGCGAACTAGCGAACTAGCCTTTGCAGGTCCCTTTCAAGGTGCCCAGCTGTGTTTTCTCTTTTTCCGTTCCCCAGGCAGTTTACTAAAAGCGCGGGGTTCTTGATTCTTTTAAGACATCGTTTGGACGGGTTCCTTCCACTCTGTCTCCCCTTGTTTTTTTTTGTTGTTGTGTTGTTGTTGTTTTTTTTTTGGGGGGGGGGGGGGCGGGGATCCAACAATTCAGGGAAGACGAGCCCCGGCTCCGGGAAATCTGAGGCTCCTGGGACAAGACGGCGAAGATTTGGCCGCTTGGCTGCGATTTGGAGCCCGGACGGTTTTGCCTGGCTAGGTCCCCCAGTTAGGTGCCCTTCTTAACCCTTTTTTGGTTGGGAGGGTTCCCCTACTAAAATAGACTACAGGAAAAAGTTGGTACCCTTATTCTAACCTTTCTGCTAGAGGACCTAGTTGGTTTGCTCCTTTCTTTTTTGGCTGCGTTTTTGGTTTCAACACCGACCGGTCACCCTTGAAAGCTAACAGCCAAAACACGGGCATCTCTTTCGCACATGGCCGCTATGCCGCTGGAGTTCTGTGGGCTGGGCCTGGGGACGGTACAACGCTAGAATTTGGGGCGCCGCGCGCGCACCGGACTATGGTTGTAGGCAGCTCCCCGTGGGATGTCAGCTTTAAATGGGGGCTCGAAAATATGTGGTCCTGTGCTGTTTGTTATTTTGTCTTTACTTGCCCCTGGTGCTTGCGTGAGTTGCAAAACCTCTTAGCAGTAGTGCATCTCTAAAGACAAACCAGTGACTTATGGAGTTCTTAAGGGAGGGGGGTGTTACGCGGGGGGGGGGGGGGTAAATTTGAGTAAATGGGCGTGGACTAGGGAGCCCTAGGGAGGCCTAGGGTTCAAATCCTGAATCCGGCTCAGCCCTCATCCTGCTTAGCCGCTTGCCCGCCCACTAAGATCTTCGCAAAACACTCGGTCCTTTGCGTGTTTTCCAGCAACCCAATTGAAGCTGATTAGTTTTTCTTGGCCCGCTTGCTAGGACTAGGGAGCCCTAGGGAGCCTTAGGGAAGCTTAGGGAAGCTTAGGGAAGCTTAGGGAAGCTTAGGGAAGCTTAGGGAAGCCTAGGGAAGGGGGAGCCTTAGGGAAGCTTAGGGAATAGGGTTTTGAGGGGTTCCGAAAAACCCCGGTAAACCCTGTACTTGGGGCTCACTTTGGGGAACTCACTTTGAAAAGCCCTGGTGCCAACGACCTTAAATCTTGGAAGGCTGGGGAGCTTAAGGGAGGCTAAGAATCTTTTAGGGGCCTTTAGGGGTCCTTGGGGAGGGAGCGCTAGGGCTTGCTAAGGAGCTCTTAGGAAGTGCTAGGGAGTCTTGGGGGTTAAACATTACCCCCCCCACTAACGCCCCCCTCCCTTAAGAACTCCATAAGTGACGCAAGCATGCTTGGCGCCTGAAAAGAAAAACAGCTTGAGAGGTGAGTGAGCACTGGTCTCCTTTGTCTCCTTGTGAATCCACGGGGCAACTAAGGAAACTGCGTAGCCCCAAAGCTGCGGGACTTGCCCAGAAGGCGCGAGCCGGTTGTGCCACTTGCACCGACCCCCGGTGTTTTTTGGATCCTCTGAATCCTGAAGGGACGCCCATAAGAGGGGTTTTACACGTTGGGGAAGCAGCGGGGACGAAAACACAACCCTTGATGTCATGCTCAGGCACAAGATGCCCTGTTTCGTCCAGCACGCGGAGCGTGTGCTGCACGGTTACCGCCAAACAGGCTTCGAATAGCTTCCTTAAATGGTGACGCCAAGAACCAGTTCAAATAGGACTTGGGCCCTAAATGGTCATTTCTCCAGAAAACAGTACTTCAGGCCTTATTTCGATCATGCTCCCCGCGACCTTAAAAATAAGGGACACCCTGGATAAATGACTTACCCTCCCACAAGCTGGAAAGGGTTTTCTTGCACTTCCATGTTAGTTGGTGGGAGGGTAAAACGGGTTAAATAGCCAGGTTTGGGGTTTATTCCCAGGCGATGTGGCAATGGTGTTTGTTTGGCCCTTTTACAGGCGAGGCGAAGCCTCTTTCGATCGGATCCGCCGGCAGGTCCTGGGCTGCTTCAGCTGCTTCCAGCAGAGCCGCTCCAGCGAAGTACGGACCGGGCTCTCCATACTGTGGATGGACGAAATCCTGCACCGCCTAAAATCTCTGAGGTGATGCTTCCCCTGCACATACCAACCCACAATCGTTTGCTATGGTTTCAAAGTGGCGCAGGATTTCGTCCACCCACAGTATGGCTGTGGGTCAAGACCAACAGGATCCCATTGTGGGGTTGGGATGTTCACTGGGGGGTAACCGGGTTTTTGACCCATGGCCCATATTTTCCTTCGGGTTTGAAGCACCCCTTTTTTGGGGGGAGGGTTCCCCAACTAAAATAGACTGCAGAGAAAGGGGTGCATTTATTCTAACCTCTCTACTGGAGGACCTAGTTTGGGTTGTGGATTCAAGATGAGTTTCGTTTCCTCTAAAATTGCGTCCATGAAAAGTGTTCTCCGAAATTCCGTCGACGAACGTCGCTAAGGAATGAAAACCTGGCGTGGAGTGGACCGTGGTATGCATGAACAACCAACAAACATTTCTGTAATTTACCCTTGTTTGAGGGAGGGTTCCCCTACTAAAATAGACTACAGACTTAAAAGGGTGCCCTTATTCTAACCTCTCTACTCGAGGACCTAGGCAATCTACTCTTGCTTTGGGGAGGGCAATGGGGGAAAGCCCGAGATTCCGAACCAAGAGGACGACCCAACTGTCCCGTGTCCACTTTGGGAAGCAAGTGCTTTGTCCACTGAAATGTCCGATTTTGGGGTGCTTCGAAAAAAGCATCAACGATGTTTTGGTGACCAATGTTGATTCGAGTTTTTTTGGGTTAGCAATTGTTGATGGGGTCACACGTCACCTCGATCCCGGCTCTGGTGCCAATCAGCGAATCCGGGGCTCGAAAATTGACTTCGAGTCATGTCCCTAACAGACTCGGGCGATGAACCCAGTGGAGTGCGCGTCACCCGGGTTCCTCTTCCCTTTTGAAGACGAGATGCGTGTGGATAAAATCCCAAATCCTGCACCGGTTGGGTGCGTGCTCTACCCCAGGATTCATAGGTGTTCACCCGAACTTAGGAGTTGTCCATCCGTGGCTGTGCCATGTAACTGTGTTTTGGTACCCCTAGCTATAAACAGGGCAGCCAAAATGGCAACCACGCATTTTGAGTCTTGAGGGTGTGCCTTTTCGCTTTTGAAGAGCTTGAGGTTCTACTAATGGCCAACCAACAAGAAAGGCGCCCTTGCTTTTGCACATCCTGCTCAGAACTGCCGTGGAAGAGTGGGAGATGTCATCAGGACCCCTTCTGGCGTTTCAAAGGGAAGGAAAAGGAGTCCCTTATCCCTATGTTCGGAAGCGCCCTATGCATATGTCATGCCGTTGATCTTGGGTACCAACCCACCGAGCAGTTCGGAGACTTCACAAATCAGCACCCAAGTGGCCAGCTTGTAGTCATGCTCATTCCTTTGTTCTGGTGTTGCAGCTCCCCCAAAATCTTCCAAGGGCTCCCTTTGTTCCGTGTACTCTGCGGGTCATCCCCGCGGCACGAAGGTCCTCTTATACATGTGGAAATGCATCTCTCTCTATCTCTCTCTCTCTCTATATATATATATATATACCTATGTAGACGTGTGTGTGTGTGCATGTACGTTTTGATATTATGTGTATATATATATATATATATAGTGGATGGGTGGAACACCATGGGAGTCTTTTGGAGGGGCGATATTCGAAGATCATTTCCTTTGGATTTTCCAGGGCTCAAGTCGCAGCGCCACACAAGGCCGGGATGACTGCATCACTTTGGAGGGCCACCAGCACGCGGTGCTCTCCGCCTGCTATGGCCCCAACTGCGCCTCTCGGCGCCGCGTTTGGCGGGGGTGAGGCTTGGCCCCTCCGGTTGCAAATGGGGTTGTCAGGTTGTAAAATCAAACTGGTGCGGCCAAAGGGGAGAACAACCCATCAACTCGTTTAAATTCCTGTGAACCAAGCTTTTGAACCTTCCAGAATTTGGTTTGTCCTTCTGTTTTTGTCTATCAGGGAATCGGGCACTATTGAACAAATTGTCCTTTGGACAAATTTGGCTGCTGAGAGGACGCTACGCTCCCATGCCTCCACTTCCCAATTCTGACAGAGGTTACTGCAATATCCTTTCACGCCCATTTGCTTAAGAATATGTTTTTTTCCCAGGTTGGTTTTAAGGGGAATGTATCACTACTGAAATATGTGTTTTGTTTTTTTTGCGTGGGTCGTAACCAAATGGAAGTTCACCAGTTGCGACCTTTGGGTTCACTGCTGCAGGTCACGCAGAAAGGGAAAGTGAGGAACCGTAGCCGGGGTTTAGTCGTGATGTTGGTTAATTGGTTGATGAAGCTTACCAGGTCATAAGTCACAAGAAAGTGGACACAAGTTTTGGAGGAGGCGAAAGTGCCGGCCAGCCACAATCGTAGACACTAAGATGCGTTAAGCGTTTCGACCGATTTATGGCCTGTCCCTTGCAAAGTTTCCCATGGCCAAGCATCAAGAAACCTGGTGAAATTGGTTTGTTGGAGTACGTCTTGACTGCTATTGGGTTGGATCTTCAGACTTTAACTTTTTGGGAAATAGAGGTGTTTTCCACTAAACTCCCAAAAAGTTAAACTTTTGCAGGGGGGTCAACAACCCATTCATCAGGATGCATAGACTTTGGCTTTTTAGCTGTTAGGTCCTCACCGCGTCGGTGGATGGCACGGCCAAGATCTGGGATCGCCGAGGACCGGGAGGTGTGGGCGTTTTGGGTATATAGCTTTGACCCATGGCCATGTCTTTTTTAAACCTTTACTTTAAACCCAGCGTGAGGGCGTCTTTTGGAGTCCATGGGAGGAACACGCAATCTGCCTTGTGAACAATCAAAAACCGTCGTGAAAAAATGGTGGCTCTCCTGTTTGGATGGATTCAATTTCGACAAGACAAGTAGGTAAATCACCGTTCAAAAAGGCCCGGTTGCCAGATAAGAAGGTCCGAACAATTCATGAGCGATGATATCAATAGGCATGGACCACGATCATAGAATCTGGAAAAAGATGGAGCTTCAGATGTTCCTAGGTTTGAAGGTTCCCCTGCCGCCTTTTAAGGTACCAATTGAACCTTTTTTAGCCCTCAGACTGAGCCTCAGACACTTTTTCTCTTCGGGTAGCACAACACTCCCGGGGATTTTGCAGATGTTTTCGGGTACTCCACAAAATGGAGCGTGTTTCCCAGCTAGTGGCAACAGAGGGTGGATTTCCGATGTTCAAGAATAACAACCACCTACTTCTTCAGTGGCATCCTTTCTTGTCTTTGGCGCATTTTGCTTGGCTGTTAGGACTTTAACTTGTTGCCAACTAATGGGTTTTCCACTAAGCCACTAAAAGTTGAAATCTTTTAGCAGGGGAGCAGATTTCGCCACCGAGTTGCTCTAGCCCCTTTTTTGTTGTTTTACTTCCGCAACCATGGACGTGCACCCAGGGGCTTCTCAAAACGCCGCCTGAGGAGTCTTGGAACAGACGCTCCAAGGTCATGCGCTGGGAGTCTTCTCCGCCAGCTTCTCTGCGCCTCGCCGGGAGTCGGCCCTCGGCTCGGCTCGGCTCTGGAGTTAGTTTTCAGATCAGGCGCTACGAGGGAGGCGCATGGCGCATCTTTTTCTGACTCAAGTGAGTGTTCCTCTCATGACTTCATGGGAGTTGCGCCTGCATTTCAACTGGTCATCCCGCCTTTGTTTACGTGGTCAAGACGGAAAACAACAGGAAGCCACTAAATTCGGGGGAGGGGGGTTCCCTTTTGTATCCGTCCTTAAGCGTGTTCGAAGGGAAACCCAAAGCAGACCAGCCCAGGTTGTTTTTCTCAACCTATTTTGAGACAAACGCATATAACCAGCCACCCCGAACATGGTGTCGTTTTGCGTGCCTCTCTTCACCAACCACTAGCCCCAGACATGGTGTCGTTTTTCGTGCCTCTCCAGCCAAAAATCAATCCCCAGACATGGTGTCGATTTTCATGCCTCTCTTCACCAACCACTAGCCCCAGACATGGTGTCGCTTTTCGTGCCTGTCCAGCCAAAAAATCAAAACCCCAGACATGGTGTCGTTTTTCGTGCCTCTCTTCACCAACCACTAGCCCCAGACATGGTGTCGTTTTTCATGCCTCTCTTCACCAACCACTAGCCCCAGACATGGTGTCGCTTTTTGTGCCTCTCCAGCCAAAACTCCAAACCCCAGACATGGTGCCGCTTTTCGTGCCTCTCTTCACCAACCCCGAAACCTGACACTAGACTCTCCCAGAACCTGCAAAACTGTCCGGAGGCCACCCTTGGCGCATTGACCCCATGTACCTGGCGCAGACTCCCCATTTCCTTTGTTTCCCTCTTGGATTACCTGTTTGCGCAGCAGCAAGGGACCACCCAATTTCATCCGACCCCTCGCAATTTCGATGGCTCAAGGGCGTCACTGGGCTGCGGGCGCCCGAAAAATCCCGGCAGGCGGACAGCCGCCTGGTGCTGACCGCCTCCTGGGACCGCACGGCGAAGATCTGGGACGCGGCCCGCGGCGTCTGCTTGAAGACCGGGGGGATGGGGGGGGCGGGGGGCACGGAGATGGGATCTGTTGTTGTTTCTTCTTTGAGGAAAAAAAAAAACGGGTATGAAGGTTTGGTGTTTGTTTTTGTGGCGTTTGTATACATGTGACGTTTTCTGAGGAATGTGAATGTGTGGCTTTTGCGGTTTTGGGGTTCTTTTTGTTTTGTGGTGTGGCACGAAATGTGACTAGAATCTCGGGATAGGAATTGTTCGGTGTGCATGACCGAGTTCCTAAACGTGTCCAGTTGTCGGAAGCGAGACTAAGGGAATGCCCCAGGAGTATTGAAGCATCATACTGCCCTCCATCTTGGATGTTGCTTTTTGTCCTGCAGACTTGCTGGTGAGCGGATGTGGTGGCTTTGCAACTCCCTTGAACAAACGATCAGAGCCGCGTTTGAATCTACATCTGTTAGGGGTTTTGCGCAGTGACACGGTATTATCCTGTTAATGGGCTGCGGTTCCGCCCCGAGAATCCAGCAGGGGTTTGCTGAATCAACTGGTTTCCCACGACAGCCCCGCTCAAGGTCATGGACATCCAAGCTAGTCACGGACCGAGTCAGGTGATACGATGACCCATGTGTTAGTGTACTAACCCCAGGTCACTGTTCTCTACATATTAAAGCCAACACACACAGAGACAGACAAGACACGCAGACACCGAAACACAGACACACGGCACAGACAGAGACACAGACAAAGACACACCTCATTTATCCCTTTCGAGACCTTCAAAAGCGGGCATTAATGGCACCCACCAGACGTTTAAATGCCCATTCTCTGCCCCCAAATCCGAAGCCCATCAGAATTATCTGGTATTTTCCATTTGAGCCAAACAATCAAAATCCGGGCGGATGAAGGTTAGTAACTGATACTCCCAACCATAAATAGCTGCGGCCGCCTTCTTAATTCTTTACATGTTTCTGGGATTACGACCATTTGAATACCGGGTTTTGAGCAAGTGACTCATTTGGCTTCGAACTGTCGCAACCAAACAACGAGCGGAAACGACATTTTGAGAGGACGCTGGAGGGCCATGGCCTCGCAGTACGTTCCGCGCTCTTCTCCAAGGAGAGCGTCGGAGAAAATAGATTTTGGGGTGGGCTAAGTGGGTGTGTCTTTGTTTAGGTGAGCCCAAACAAACGCGGTGTTCCTTTTGGTGTCCTTTTGAAGCCACCCAAAAAACCGTCCCCTTAAAGAAGATACATCTAAATATGAAACAGAATCAAGACTGGGCCAAGTGTTGGTTGGTCAGCTCCAGGCCTTGTTTCAGTGACACTTCTTGGACCTCGATGTTTTCAGAGAGTGCTCTTTGAGCCAGTGACATGTTCAATGTTACATGTGTGTTGATTTTATTCGGGTGTGCCCAACAGGGGTCTCTTTGTGGATGGTTCCCGAGCCCAGTGTGGCATCACCCGTCTGCCCGTTCTGTTCGGGGTTTTGCCACTCAACATGTTCAAAAACAAGCAAATGTCAAATCGGATTGTCTACAAATGGGGGAGGCTCCCATCTGCCCGCCCAAAATGCGAAACGCCAGGGGCCCATCCTGGAAAACCGGCAGCGACTCCGACAGGGCTCCCCCCATATTGGTGGCTTTGGACATCACCTTTTGGGCCGACTTCGGGTTTCCTCATGGATTGATGTTGAAAGGGCAGACCTATAGGGCGTTTTCAGGCACCGCCTCTTGGCTACCTGAGTTTGCTTCCTGACAGTTTGACAGTTTCCGGACTCCCAATACCATTGAACAACATCTAAAGCCACTGAATAACATCCAATACCACCAAAAAATAAACATCCAACACCACTGAATAATCAGAATATGCAACACCCTGAAGTTGGAAAACCCGCCAAGTCATGAGCCACAAATTTCATCGGGGAAGGACGGCGCCGCGGTGCTCACGGCCTCGGACGACGGCCGGGACCTCGGATTTGGCACTGGCCTGCCCTCCCGCGCATCGGTGGTTTGGAGAGCCCGGCTTGGTTTGTTCCCCACAACTGGGTCCCCCAGCAATTGGTGCCCTTCTTCACCCTTTTTGGTTGGGAGGGGAAACCCCCCACTAAAATAGACAAACCAGAAAAAAGTGGGTACCAACCTGTTCTAACCTCTCTGCTGGAGGAGCTAGTTCCCAAACAGCGACCAACAGACGAGATGTGGCTGTGGGTCAAACCCAATGGGATCCCATTTTGGGGTAGGTGCACCACCCATAGTCTATTTTAGCGGGGATTGGGATGTTCACTGGGGGTACGATTTGGGGTTTGACCCATGGCCATTTAAATTTGAAGCCCTGGTTCTCAAGTAGCTACATGAGACACCCCTCCTCCAAAACCGATCCAAAGCACCAAAGAACGACGGAAGCTGAACTGGGGGACTGGGGTAGTTCTTTCTCAAGATTCTAAGAGACCAACTACAGGAAGTTCTACAGGGAACCTGATTTTGGTGGGAATTTGGCTAGTTTCGTGCAGAAATTCCTGTAGCTGGTTTCAATGACAGATGGACAACTTCCTTTGGCACTTGGGCAACGAAAAGGAAAGCGTTGGCAGGTCAGGAACCACAATTTTGAGAAGCCCTTTTGTATATGGTTATGTTATGTGGTGGCTGTGTAGCCCATTGTTCCTTGGTCGCTGTGGGGAAATGTCGGCGGATCAACTAGAACCTCGTTCAAGGTTAGGCTTTGCTGTCGGATGTGTTGGGCTTGTCGTTTGTTGGGACGTTTTTTTTCTTGTGGGTCCCGTCGGCTTTTCCCTGCTTGCCTGCGCTCACAAGTTAGGTCCGAAGTGTCCTCTGACAAAGTACTTTGACCCCCTTGCTTGCCCCTCAAGAACAAGAACATCCTTAAACGGTTCTTGCAAAGGTAGATATCCTTCTAGGCAGCCAAAGTTGCTCAACTTTGGCCAGCTGTCTTAACATGAAACCAGACGCAGCCTAGCGATCCTCCCGGTCGAATCCGTGCGTCACAAGCCTGGTGAACCTGACTCATTTCTTAGCAGCGGATTGTGCAACTCGTGTAGCGCATAAATATGTTCGTATGTAGATATGATATATAAGTTTAATGACCGCTGACGAGTTTGAGGCTCAAGTGCAGTATACCGTTTCCCGCTTCATGGTGCATTGGTAAGCATATTTTACGATGCGAGGCGGGGATGACCATGCTGCGTCCTCAAGTACGTCCCAGAGTATCCAAGCAGAGTATGCTGAGCACAGCTCTTTGCCATGCAGTTTGGACGTGATGGAGCAGAAGTTTGGACTCATCCAATCATATTCCATGGATGTAAAGAACGACCCGCGCTTTTTCCAGTCCAACGTGCTGGACGCGAGGCTCGCGGCATTCAACAAGATCGAGCTCGGAGTTGTTTCGTCGCTCATGATGGGCACATGCACACATGTCATCGAAATGGAGAAAAGCCTGAACTTCCAAACGACCGAAGGAGTACTGCGGGTTCTGAGCTTTGGGTTTTTGTCCATTGCGCTGTTCCTCAGTGTGATTACGACATACGTTGGGGTTGCCCAGACGTACCACACCTACCGCTTGGAAACTGCGGGGCCGATGGGCTTTGAGACCGCGGCATCTTACTATCTGAATCCCAACATCGTCGCATGGCGTCATTTGGTGGTGAAATGTATGTTTCAGTGCCTCGCACTCTTCCTGATCTCAACCGGGATCAGGGTGTCTGTCAGTTTTGAGGATTTGACAGAGGAGGAGCAGCCTAGGATCTCCAAGCGAAGCTCGCACATCTTGGGCCTGGTGACGTTCACCTTCTTTTGCATTGGAGCTGCCATAGTGCATTACATCAATGTAAAGCACCAAGCAGTTTTCCGCTGCAACTATGAGCGTGCCAAAGAGTCAGAGCGGCCATACGCGTCGACAGTACACGACATGATGTACTCCAAGCGAAATGGGTATCGACCGCATGGAAATGTGGTTTGAGCCCTAGACGTCCCTCACAGTGCTGAGGGTGCTGAGCTATCCGACTTAATTCATCCAGTCTCACCGTCTCACCCTATCTGGACAAATTCGATCTCACCTCGCGGCGTCCCGGTACGACGAGCCAAGCCCTGACGACCTTTTCCGTTGCGTTGAGTAAAGACCCTCGGCAGAGAGAGAGAGAAAGAATGAGAGCAATTTGCGCAGACTCTGGCCGGGTTTTTGCCCTGGCCTCGCGAGTCGCGGAGCATTCCCCTCAAATCAATTCTTTCTGGATGTGTGTTTGTTTGAGGATACCCTTTCCAGGTTGGTTTGAAGCTGGGTCCCCCTTCGGCACATACTCACTCTTACAGGGCGACTGGCACGATCGACGGGATCAAGCTGCCTGAGCCTCGCAGGCCTTTCCAATGCGTTTGCGACCTGAGCTGCCGGCAAGTTCAACTCATTCAATGAGTAGTCGCCGCAGAAAACAGCGCGCACATATGGCATACAACAAGTGCATACATACATATGTAGTAGCGTAACAGCCATATTTATATAGATATGCACATATAGTTCCATACATGTAGAAACAGCAAACATATATCATCAAATAGGGTTTTGTTTGAGGGTCGAAACGTACAGCACCCAAGGCAGTGCCAAGATCTGGAACGCCGGCAGTGGCGCCTGCCTGCGGACGCTGGCAAGGCGTGGATCGGTCGCATCCGACGCGTGCACGGGTGGCCGTGCCTGGAAGCTGGTTTCAACATGTTACGGCCAGGAGGAAGTCCCAAAACAAAAGGGGGGAACAAGTCCCAGAACAAACCTCCAGACCCCATTTTAAGTCTCTCCAACGACCAGATTTAGGAGCCTGTTTTTGCTTTACTGAGGAAGCCAAAGTTTTCTGCCAGGTGGTGGTTCATTGCTTCTGGTCAATGTTGTGTGGAAATGCTCATCCCGTGCTTGAAGAACAATTTATAGTGCTCCAACGCTATTGCAGCCTGCATATTGCGATCCGGCTGTCTTCTGCTTGATGTAGGGTCGTGCTCATTCCGCAGTACCAGTGGTGGGTTCAAGCTCCTTTCCAAAATCGGGGGGAGGGGGGCTTCTGGCTCAGAGCAAAGCCAAGAGCAAACCAAACACTTTGAGGGGTCCCGTGAGGCCACAGCCATATCTCCAAAGCCCGGAGCAGTTCAAAACATTCGCAGCACTTCTTTGGCAAGACAAGCCGGACACGGGTGCAAGCTTTCCCTCGCTGGGCCGTGTCGGGCCAGAACATGCCAATTTGCTTGCTCGATCATCGGATTTGCTTGCGTGTGACAGAAATTGCCACTCCCCAATAGCAGTAACAGCTATCGACTGCAAAAAGTCACTATCTCTAGAGCTTCCTCGAGGGAAACAGTTCCAACCCGCCACTAGAAACAGGTTCACAAGGCCCGACACTGGGCCAAATCCCCTTGGCCCCTGACCTGCCAGCTTTGGCAGATGCATACGCCCACCCATTTTTCCGAGCCGCCTTCCGCCAGCAACATCACTCAGCAAGTAAGAGACACCGAGCAAACGGGGTTTGAATGACCAACATTTGCATACTTCTTCTTTCATGTATATCTCCAAGTTCTTGCGAGTGTCCTTCAGGCTATGTCCTGGTTTAACCTTGTGCCAGGTTCGGTTTCTTCCTGTTTTGCCCAAAGACATCCTCGAGTTCCGTCTGTTTCCTCATGTCCCTTTCCTGTGTAAGAGGCGATCTCCAACTCTGAGGCTCCCGGTGGCCGCCGACTGGGGCAAAAAAGTCGGTCGCAGGGAATTTGCGTTTTCGGATGTCCAGGTCCCATCCCCCAAAGGAACGAAACTGCAGAGGGCCCCTCCCTCCCAGCATGTCATCTGACAGGTCTTTCGAGCAAATGGATCTTCGAGGGTCAGGTATCCACAGGTGCCATGGCAACCTGGGAAGGGTAGAAGGCCAAGGATAACTTTAGCACGTAGCCAGAGTGCCAAGATCAAGCGCTCACCTAAATGCCGCCGTTTTGAACCTTGAAATAGCAACCTCCGTTCCATCATAGTTCATGTGTCTCCTTTTGGTGACCCCTTGGACGCCAAAGTGATGGATCCACGGTCGTCGCAAAGGATGGCCCTGAGTCATATGCAGTTGACTTCCTAGAATATGTTTCTTTATGACGCCAAGCCGAGGTTCAATTGTATTATTTGAAGTGCCTGAAAAATCGACAACCCTGGATGGATCTCGTTCTCGCGTTTTCTCCAAGCTGAGTCCTTTGCAAGGCCGGGCCACGCCATCCGTGTGGCCGTCTTCTCCCCGGACGCCTCGGTGGTACTCACGTCCTTCGACGACGGCGCGGGGTTTTCGCGCAGAACCGGGCCCCTGCTGGGTCCCTTTCGTGTTTTTTGTTGTTTGTTCATTTTTTGGTTGGGACGGCAAAAGGTCGTATTCAGAAGTAGTTGTCTCAATAGCGCTCTCAATCTGCGATATCCTCTCCTTGAGATCCTCCTCAGCACCAGTACCTCCCATGACAATGGCATCATCGTTCTCAACGATAACGTTGACAGCACCCGTTTTGGAGACAAACCCATTTTTTGATGTTAAACCTCAACTTTTCGGCCGGGTGAGTTTCTCTTGGGTGATGCTGGGCAACGACGTGCACCCGCGAGGGTTTTCTCGCGGATGTTTGTCCGCCCCATAACCTACCAGTCACAGGTTGACTTGGGGCACAAATCCATGGGTGATGGACATGCAAATGGCTGTGGGTCAAAACCAACGGTACCATTTTGGGCTAGGTGCAGCACCCATTTTAGTCCATTTTAGTGGGGATTGGGATGTTCACTGGGGGTTGATAGCATAGGTCTCCTTTTTAGTGTTTTGGTAGAACAACAGATGGCCCTGGCTTACCAGGCGGTTTAATCTTCTACCAGGGCCAACACAAGGAAAAAAGTTATTTGCCAGTGGATATTGGGTACCAACTTGTTGCGCCCGGCTCTCCAAACCCCAAGAAAAAATGATATTCCCCCGGGCCAGTGGGGCATTGCCTGTTCTCCTTGTTGGAAGGGATGACCTTTGACATCCAGCAACCACAAAAATCGGCGCCCTGGTTTTCCATGGCCAGATGGTTTGCCTCAGCTGGCGGTCCACGCCTATTTGAGCCACAATCAAAACCCGGGTAGATGAAGGTTAGTAAGGGACAATCCCCTTGCCATAAATAGCCGCGGAGATTTCCGCCTTCTAGATTCTTGAAGCATGGTTCTGGGATTGCGACCGTTTTAGTACCGGGTGTTCATTATGATTCATTTGGGTATGGGTCAAAATTCAACCACCATGGGACCACAGGTGTAATCCATGTTTCCATTTACCAGGGTTCCCATTTTGGATACATGTTTTTGACGCACAGCCAAATGTTTGCAAGGAAGCACTCGGTACGTGGAACCAGAGATTACAGCCTGCGTAGCCCCAGCTTTTAAATTTTGAGCCACACCTGGAGTCTCCATGACCCTTTAAAAACGGGTCCATGACCCCGTACTGCCATGTGGGCCTTTTTGATTATGACTCATTTGGGCCTTGAACCAAACGGAAGAGAACAAGAAAAACAGCGAGGGGTTTTTTCAGCTGCCCGTCCGCTCCGTTTCTCGAAGGCACCGCGCAGCTCTGGGACGCGGGCACTGGGCTCTGCTTGCAGACGCTCAAAGGTCATGACCGCTCCGCCGGGAGCTGATGAGCTGATGGGATCGGGAGCCATTGCTGGACCGGTCCTTTTTGTGACCGGTCCTTTTTTGGCAACCCGGGTCAACAGCAACCAAGATTTTAAAGGCAAATAGTCTCCAAAGATGTTTGGGGCCCAAAAGTTATCCCCACCTTGACTTTGGAGGGCGATTCTGAGGATGACACTTTAATGGAGGGCTTGTTTCTTTTGTTGAACATGAAGACCCTCTTGTTCGGCTGCTTCTGCAGGATCCTGAAAGCAAACTGCTGTTTTGCTTTTGCGGGGTCCCATATGTTTGGAAACACACCGCCGATGCTCGGTTTTTGTGTCGACCACCAACGATGTCGCAATCCAACATCAACAGGGCCTTCAACTTGGGCTGAAAGAGATCGCAATCGAGTGCTACCTTCCATTTCCATTCTTTCCGATCCTAACCCCCAAAAAACAACCCAAGAAACGGCCGCGTTGTTTGAAAAGAATGGACAAGGAATCAACCCTTAGAAATGAAGTGTGTCAGGGATTTCTTAATCAGCCTCCAGAGGTCTTTGCCCCCTTTTTTTTCTCTTTTCGGGTGGGAAAGTATATCAGGGCTCCTTAAAAGATACATGTTGCAACCATTTGAAACATGGCTTTGTCCGTCAAAATGAAGGGAAACCACCATTTACAAGTTGCAATGCTCAGGTGTATGTCAGGACCCCTGTGGCAGGCCATCCTCAGCTTAGTGCGGAAACCGGTTACCCCATCTCAGGACCTCAGGTGGGACTCCGGCCCGCGAGGAGCAGTTCGCTGCTGGCCTTGTGGGAATGTGCTGTGTGTGAAAATGTGTGTTTTGATCCGCAATTCAATGGCTTGGAACACCCACAGGTGATTTGCAACTGGCCCACCTCTCGGAGGTGAAAGGTTCAGAAACATCCAGGATTATACGTTAGTCAGTTCTATCTCTAACCATAAATTGCCACCTATGGAAGGAACAAGACATGGGACTCCTTATGTGAAACCCGGATGAATCAACCCGGTGGTTGATTGATACGCGGATCCTCTCGTGAATGGTACCCCCTCCAATAGTCAAATGGGCTTTGTGAATCCTACTTGGCCGCATCAATTTCATGACCCTTTCGTCGGTTTATGATCCCTTTCACAACCAAACGCAGGCAGCCAAGTGACTAGGTCCCCCAAGTAGTGCCCTTTACCCTTTTTTTGGGGAGGGTTCCCCTACTAAAATAGATTGCGGAAAAAACAAAAAAGCGGGTACCAACTTATTCCAACCTCTCTACTGGAGGACCTAGCTTGGTGGCTCCCAGCCATCCGGTTCCTTAGCTTTTTAGCCTTTTAGTGTTTAGTGGGGTTTTCCATTTAGCCACTAAAAGTCCGTCACTTCGAGCGGGGGATCTGAAAACGGATAGCCCCGTCCCTTCGGCCAAGCGCCCCTTGCGCTCGCAGTGAGGTCAAGTTCGCCCGCTTCTCGCCATGAGGCGCGGCTTCCTCGGCGGCGCGGGTGTCAGTGGGCTCGTCTTCAAATGGAAGCCCCCAGCAAATGGCGGCCCCTGGAGATGTCCCGTGAAACAACTTTTGTGAAGATGCATCTAGATCAAAACGACTTGCAACCTTCACTTTTGTATTTCAGGCGGAGGGTCCCCGGGGGTCCCCTGAACCGTGGGTGCGGCGGTTTCGGAGTGGACAGGCCACAAGCGGAGGTGAACTGAATGCTGCCCGACCTTCGCCCAACTGAGGAAGCGAGTGCATCGTTTTATCACTTCCGTAGAATCCGTCATCAAGACCTATCGGATCAGAGCCATAGAAGGGAGCCATAGCCCTTAGTGTTGCTAATCATCCCCAATCGTCATGAGCAACTAGTTGTCAAACACATCACCGCTTGGGTTTTTTGTATGGTTTCGGAGTTGGTTTCAGGAAGAGAGTCTGTGTCCCGATGATTCTTTGGACGGGCCGCTTGGCAAGACCGGGAGGCCAGATGAGCTTTGGAAAACAGAGCCAACATGAGAGGCAAATGTGTCTTTCGGAGACCCCCAGTTGGTTTATGTTGGTTTCCACGGGGAGGGTACTCAGAAATTACAGCGGGAGAAGCAAGTGAACTTCAGCGGTGATCTTTGCAACTCGCGCTGTCAGCGACTTCAGCAAGCGGCCGGTTTCACATTGCCGGCCCCACTTCAGAGGACGTCGCAGGACTCAGACCGTGGTCAACGGGAAGCTAATTGGAGGGCCAGCTATGACAGCGATTCATGAGCCAAAGACCTGCATCTTTATGGCACTTTATGGGACGATATATTTGTTGGGCTGGGAAGTAGCCATTACCTGCAGACATCCTGTGGCTTTCAAGCGCGCGTGGCCAGGACGCAGTGGCTTAGACTCAGACCTGTTTATGTGCAACTTGCACCAAAGGACACTGTGTAGCATCCGAAAAGAGCCCACCTGTTTGCAGCCACTTTAGGGTCACCCAACTTACAAGTTGTCCAACGCAAACCTTTCAAGCTCATTGGATGTCCTTTTCGGCAAACACATGCAGTCAAGGGTGCTAGAAAATACCGTTTTCTTGGGTAGGTGCCCTGCTTTTTTCCTTTGGTGCGAGACAGTTGGGGTTGTTACGTTTGCCGTTCAGGCTCTGGGGAGTGTTTTGATACGGGTGCGAGTGATTCAAGTTGCTTTTGACATTCATTTGTTTGGCATGAAGATATATGTTAGTTTGATCTCGCCGGGGTTTCTTGTTTTTGAAGCAAGATGCCACCCGCAACGCAGCCCACTCATCTCAGAAGCTGACTTGTTTGACACGCCCCAAAAAAGAAAAGCATGGAGACCCCTGTTTGCATTCCGATTGACCAATACCATTCCCATCAACTGAACTTCCATGTCTTTAGCTTTGAAGGGTCACCTGTTGGCATTGATGGGTGGTTGGTATTGTTTGGTTAAAGCATGCCCCAGACCTCCAGTGCTTCGTTTTAATTTTTCGCCTTAAATCAGCTAGGCAACACCGGGTGTCCTCCTTTTCGCACCGAAATCCCACGGAGGTCGGGGAAAGAGCACTGGGGGTTCCATTTGACACATGCCCAGGGCACGTTTCATGATGGGATTTATGAAGCTCGGTGCTTCTAGACTTGGTCCCCCAGTAGTGCCCTTTACCGTTTTGTTGGGGGAAAAAACGGTACCCTTGTTCTAACCTCTCTACTGGAGGACCTAGTAGAGGTAAACCGGGGCTTCATAAAGGAAGATCCCCAAGATCTGGCCAATTGTTGGCATCTTTATGGGCCCCCCGGCCCCCAAACCAGTTTCCAGTGAAACGCTGGCTGAATTCTGAGCAATTGTCTTGCCCTTTGGTGCCAGGCTTCTGGTACGGCCATGTGTCAAAATCCCGTACCCCAGTGAACATCCCAATCCCCACTAAAATAGACTAAAATGGGTGGTGCACCTACCCCAAAATGGTACCATTGGTTTTGACCCACCGAAAAAATGTTGGACCGCTCCCCATTAACAATCAAACGTTAGCTCTTTCGCGCGAGAAGGTGGACAACTCTGGGACCCTAAATCTAGCTTGCGACGTTCTCGCGGGTTGGCAGGCCAACAGCCTTGCGAGGTCAACGAACCTCGCCCGTCGCGGGCACTCTTGCAACAGCTTGCCTCATGCAGTTCTTCCAGGCAGTTGTTTCAAACATAGTGGACCCCTCAAACAGCAAAAAAGGTGTTTGTGCATCACATCGACAACCCCCAACATGCTGGTTTTGAAGTTCTCAGAGTTGGATGTGGAAAGCTTACTGGGGCAGCAGTCGTAATGTCTGGCTTTGGCTTACCCTCCGAAGAAAAAAACAAACAGGAAAGGATAGGGGCCCGCTTGAAAATGACCATGCTCCAAATCCAGGCTTTCCGGAGAGTGGGAGGCAACGGGCAGAATCCGGAAAGGAAGCTTCCAAGAGGCAACAAAACACCACACGCGGTCTGCAAGAAACCGCCCAAAAAGCTTTCAACGAGCATGTTTGTAGTCCCTGAGGAGCTGAGGCAGCTGTGTCTAACGGCATCTCTTTTCAGTTTCAACGGCTCTTGGAGCCTGTTTCAGGGCCTTTGCCCTCGCTGGTCACTTGACCGTGTCATCGGTGCAAGCACCATGTCACGCGAACTTCTGAAGGTTGCGCCCATCATTCTCCGGCCTTCGGAGTTCTGGGATACCACAACAAAACCTTGGTGCTTGGGGAATGGTTCTGCGGAAATGAATAAATTCCGGGGAAAGAATGCGTTTTTTTCTCTGAAAGGAACATTGTTTCTGTGCATGATATGGGAAAGCCCCTTTGGGCCAATGGAAGCGAGGCTTCAAAAAGTGAAGGGCCCCCTCTTAGAAGGGGCACCACCTCATCAACCAGCCAGGGTGTATTTCTCCTGGGTTCCCATGGGAAGGAATGGGCAACAAAGTGTTCTCAAAAAAACAACACTCCTGGATCCTTCCTTTGAAAAATAAAAGTATCTCGGCTGAATCTTTCCTGCCGGCTTGTAAAGGAGGCATTGCTCCCTTAGACCACCGGGTGTCTGTGTCTAATCCTTTTGCCTTGGATCCCGGGGCTTGGCATGGCAGGCCCCAACCCGTTTGAGGCCGAGCTTTTTTGGTTCGGGAGACTCTGTTCGAAAGGCCACGTACACTTCCCGTTGTTTATATATATATATATGTGTGTGTTTATTTATTGATTTATTTATTTATTTATTAGTTTATTTTTTTATTTGTTTGTTTATTTATTAACAAAAATCCTTTTCGTGGGTACTATTGTGAACTCACATCTTCATAGGATTCATAGGAGTAGTTCATTTTCATAGAACTGTGATCCGGCAGAGCTCATATCTTGATTGGACTTGGCTCACATGCTTTGACTGTTTGCCAGGTTTGTTCGCTTTGTTGACGGCGCATGGCACCTTTTTCGGGATGCCTTTTGCCTGCATCTCTTCGTGCCAGTTGGCCTTCGCCCACGCCCGAAAAAGGAGTTCGGCCGTAGCGCGTGACCAAAAAGGGGCGGTTCAAGACGTGGCTCCCAAGAAAGACAAGAAAGC